TTGATACTCTTATTCTTGCCTGTCGTTTTCTTATCTTTTTATTTTGTTATATCTCTTTTTGTTAGTATTGGTCAACATCCTGCCTTCCAGCGTCGTATGGGTATAGTTCTGGTCGACTGTTGCTGACTTCTTCATCTTAGCTATTGGTATTATCTTGAATTGTTCTTATTTGTCCTGATTTTCCATTTTCTCAGTCATTTTTATATTTTTTATCGCTCGTACCGTGTAGAGTGCCATAAGTGGGTTGATTTTCTTGGGTATGATACTATTTGAAATGTATCATCTTAATCATTACATATTCGCTAAAGGGGTGGGTTGAGGAATTATTATTAATGAGGTATAAATTGTATATAGTGTTGGAGAAAAGCATCCTCCTTGAGTACTCACTCTCAAGATTAAACATAGTTCCCCATAAAGTTTCCTATTTGAATTTGTGCTCTCCTATCCTCTAAATAGTTACACAATATTTTTAGCAAGTGTTCGTTAAGTCCCAATATTAATATTTTATATATTTTAGCCTAAATACTTAAAGTTTATCAAAAGCCTTAAAACGTTCCTTAAAATTATATTGATCTGGTTCCCCTTGCTTTTTTTCTATTGCAATTATTTCCGTTATTGTAGCTATTGCAGTTAGGAGTATTTCTATTGGGCATAAAAATTCATGTTGTCTATTAGTTTTCCCCTGTTGTGTTAAAAGGTTATAAGTCTTGAATTTAACATTTTTTTCCAGTAGTTCCCAGTAATTTATCTTCCTTATTGTCCTTACCCTCCTTGGGATTAAATATCATTTGGCATATTTTAGTTTGTCTGGAGAAAGTAACCAGTTATTCAGCATGCGTTATAAATGTTTAATAATGTTTTTAAAATGTTTTCAGGTAGATTTATGATCATATTTCGTGTAATACTTACGTGAGACCAGGGGCCTTTTCTTTAAACTTCTCAGACAGTGCATCATTTCTCCCATAGTTCTTATTTTATTATTAGGTAATAAGTTATAGTCCTATATTGCTTTGGGGTGATTCTGTATTTATCTACTACTTCGTCTTCTATACTTTCTTCGTGTTCACTATCAAAAATCTTCACATTTTCCTCATCTGATATTTTAAAACTTTACCCATTCCTTTTGAATGCTGACTCTTGTTCATTTTTCCTCGTACAGTTTGATCCATTTTGGTCTTTAATGTCTGGTGTTTTTGCGTGTTGTACCCAATCATCTTGTTTAAAGGAAGTCCAAAATGTTTTGTGTCTTTAATGCTTGTCGGCCGCCATTATAATATCATTCCATTTTTGTTGTTTGCTTCCTTCCATACGTCTCTCAATTTTATCTGCAGTGCTGTCTGCGTCGTATATAGCCATCTGTTACTGTCGTGTCTTTCCTTATACCTGTTTATTTCATTGTAATAGGTCTGGATTAGTTTAACTTCTTCTGTTAGTCTGTTGTTGGGTAATGTTCTAAAGTGTAGTAAGTGTGTTTGGTTATAGATGTTTTTATTGCTGGTGCAGATCTCTGTCCATTTCTGAGTCTGTCTTCTGTTGTTTCCCTTGTAGGTTAATCGAATGGTGATTCTTCAGCCGTCTTTGAAGCTGTCCCCAGTCTGTTTTGCTCATTTTCAGCCTCTTTGTGGGTATCTATATGGGGCTTGTTGGCAGTGTTAGTATAATTGGCAGATGGGTCACTGTGAGGAGGTCCTTGTTTTTGCATATAAAGTTTTTGCAGCACGAAATCATCTACTGAGTGTCCGCAGGATAACATCGTGTACACGGATTGGCAGCGAAAACTACTTCAGAGCAGTGGTGGAGGAGTTGGGTGAGCAGGGACCTCCTGAAAGGGGTGGAGTAGCAGCCACCTCACCCTTCATGCCCTCACGCACCCTCCAACACCACCTCCCACAGCAACAAACTGGTCGACGTCTCCAGTGGCACCATGAGATGCGGTATGATCAAAGTCGAGGAGATAGCTGTTATTAAGGTGAGTCACCATGGCCTGGTGTTGTGGGTGAGTCACCATGGCCCTGTTGTTGTGGGTAGTCACCATGGCCCTGCTGTTCTTAAGAAGAGTCACCATGGCCTGCTGTTAGATGAGTCACCATGGCCTGCTGTTATTTAGATGAGTCACCATGGCCCTGCTGTTGTGGGTGAGTCACCATGGCCCAGCTGTTATTGGGGTGGTCTCACCATGGCCCAGCTGTTGTGGGTGAGTCACCATGGCCCTGCTGTTAATGCTTTAGTCACCATGGCCCTACTGTTAATGGGAGAATGAGTCACCATGGCCCTGTTGTTATTAAGGTGGTCACCATAGCCCTGTTGTTATTAAGGTGGTCACCATGAGCCCTGTTGTGGGTGAGTCACCATGGCCTGTTGCGTGGGTGGGCTCACCATGGCCTCATGTGGAGTGGTCTGCCGGCTGTTCTTTATTAGATGAGTCACCATGGCCTGTTGTGGGTGGTCTGTGGCCCTGTTGTGGAGTGAGTCACCATGGCCTGTTGTTATTAAGGTGAGTCACCATGGCCCTGCTGTTATTGGGATGGTCACCATGGCCCTGTTGTTATTAAGGTGGTCACCATGGCCGTGCTGTTATTAAGATGAGTCACCATGGCCCTGTTGTTAATGGGTGAGTCACATGGCCTCTTATTAGGTGGTCACCATGGCCCTGTTGTTATTAGGTGGTCACCATGGCCTACTGTTATTAGGTGAGGTCACCATGGCCCTGCTGTTATTAAGATGAGTCACCATGGCCTGTTGTTATTAAGGTGGTCACCATATTTTTTCTGTTGTTATTAAGGTGAGTCACCATGGCCTGTTGTTATTGGGTGAGTCACCATGGCCCTGCTGTTATTAAGGTGAGTCACCATGGCCCTCTTTGTTATTAAGGTGAGTCTGCCATGGCCCTACTGTTGTGGGTGAGTCACCATGGCCCTACTGTTGTTAAGGTGAGTCACCATGGCCCTGTTGTTATTAAGGTGAGTCACCATGGCCCTGCTGTTATTAGGTGGTCACCATGGCCTGTTGTTATTAAGGCCGTCACCATGGCCTGTTGTTATTAAGGTGGTCACCATGGCCCTGTTGTTATTAAGGTGAGGTCACCATGGCCCTGCTGTTATTAAGATGAGTCACCATGGCCCTGTTGTTAATGGGTGAGTCACCATGGCCCTGTTGTTATTAGGTGAGTCACCACTGGCCCTGTTGTTATTAGGTGGTCACCATATTTTGCTGTTATTAAGGTGAGTCACCATGGCCCTGCTGTTATTAGGTGAGTCACCATGGCCCTGCTGTTGTGGAGTGAGTCACCATGGCCCTGTTGTTATTAAGGTGATCACCATGGCCCTGCTGTTAATGGGTGGTCACCATGGCCCTGCTGTTGTGGGTGAGTCACCATGGCCCTGCTGTTGTGGGTGGTCACCATGGCCCTGCTGTTGTGGTGGTCACCATGGCCTGCTGTTGTTAAGGTGAGTCACCATGGCCTGTTGTTATTAAGGTGAGTCACCATGGCCTGCTGTTATTAGGTGAGTCACCATGGCCCTATGTGTTATTAAGGTAAGTCACCATGGCCCTGTTGTTATTAAGGTGAGTCACCATGGCCTGTTGTTATTGGGTGGTCACCATGGCCCTGCTGTTATTAAGATGAGTCACCATGGCCCTGTTGTTATTAGGTGAGTCACCATGGCCCTGTTGTTATTAAGGTGAGTCACCATGGCCCTGTTGTTATTAAGGTGAGTCCCATGGCCCTGCTGTTATTAAGGTGGTCACCATGGCCCTGCTGTTATTAGGTGAGTCACCATGGCCTACTGGTATTAAGGTGAGTCACCATGGCCCTGTTGTTATTAAGGTGAGTCACCATGGCCCTGCTGTTATTGGGTGAGTCACCATGGCCCTGCTGTTGTGGGTGAGTCACCATGGCCCCCTACTGTTATTAAGGTGAGTCACCATGGCCCTGTTGTTGTAAGGTGGTCACCATGGCCCTGCTGTTATTAAGGTGGTCACCATGGCCCTGTTGTTATTAAGATAAGTCACCTGGCCCTGTTGTTATTAAGATTGAGACACCATGGCCCACCTGTTGTTGTGGAACGAGTCACCATGGCCCTGCTGTTATTAAGGTGGTCTGTGGCCCTATTTATTAAGTCAGTCACCATGGCCCTGTTGTTGTGGGTGGTCACCATGGCCCCTCACTGTTATTAAGGTGAGTCACCATGGCCCTCTGCTGTTATTGGGTGGTCACGCCATGGCTACTGTTATTAGGTGAGTCTGTGGCCCTGTTGTTATTAAGGTGAGTCACCATGGCCCTGCTGTTATTAAGGTGAGTCACCATGGCCCTGCTGTTATTATGGTGGGTGAGTCACCATGGCCTCATTATGGCCTGGTTATTAAGGTGAGTCACCATGGCCCTGCTGTTATTAAGGTGAGTCACCATGGCCCTGTTGTCACCATGGCCCTGTTGTTGTGAGTCACCATGGCCCTGTTGTTATTAAGGTGAGTCACCATGGCCCTGCTGTTATTAAGATGAGTCACCATGGCCCTGTTGTTATTAAGGTGAGTCACTATGTGTTGTTATTAAGGTGAATCACCATGGCCCTGTTGTTATTAAGGTGAGTTCACCATGGCCCTGTTGTTATTAAGGTGAGTCACCATGGCCCTGCTGTTCTTAAGGTTAGTCACCATGGCCCTGCTGTTATTAAGGTGAGTCACCATGACCCTGTTATTAAGATGAGTCACCATGGCCCTGCTGTTAAGATGAGTCACCATGGCCCTGCTGTTATTTAGATGAGTCACCATGGCCCTGCTGTTATTAAGGTGAGTCGCCATGGCCCTGTTGTTATTAAGATGAGTCACCATGGCCCTGTTGTTATTAAGGTGAGTCGCCATGGCCCTGTTGTTAATTAGATGAGTCACCATGGCCCTGCTGTTATTTAGGTGTCACCATGGCCCTGCTGTTATTAAGATGAGTCACCATGGCCAACCTGTTATTTACATGAGCCACTATGGCCACAAGGTTTGTATATACACTTAAGTTATATTTATGGAGCTGTAGTTGAGAGCTCTGAGAGTCTGTCTGTAGCTAGGTTCCCACCCTGTGTTTAATTTTTAATTTGCCCCACGAGAGAGTTAATTTATTGGACATCCCCTTTCATCCTGTGCAAGGCGTACCGTAGAAAGCGTTTACAGCCCCCAACAGGAAAGCACGCAGAGTTCATGCTTGCCTAGTCGACTCAAGTATTAAAGGGCGTAAATGCCTGAAGGACCATGCATTTCATCGGCAAGTTACATATAGTGACAGCAGGATGAGTATGTAGGGGAGAATTCTCGATACAATGCATCTGTTTATGGCAAGACGTGGCGGGTCCCTAATAAGCCTGTCGCAGGAGGAGCGATATTGGTCAGGAGGAAGGGGTGTTGTTACGACTGGGGACTGTGCTGTGATTGGATAGGCACGGTGGGGGTGGAGGGAGGCACGTAGGCATTAACAGTATTAAGGGACAAACCTTTTAGTGTGAGTGTGATGACGTGTGCGTCGGTAGTTACAGCGAGGAGGAAGAGGTCGGAAGGTTGATAGGGAACGTACTTCCTGGCGGAGATATGCAGTCAACGTACTTGTCATCGGTATGGTCCAAAGGCTCAGAGAGCTGGTCCAACAGAGAGCCCTGGTGAAGTGACAGTCGGCAGCTGTGAGGGAGTCTGTGGGCAGGTGGGGCTCACAGGGGGCACCTCGCGGCACTGTAGGTCGGTGACAATGGCAAGTAAGGATCCAAAGAGACCATAGTAATGCTCAACACGGCTTTCTAGTTTGTGAAGGAGGGACTTGAATGTGTCACCTTGCCGGAGAAGAGTTGGGGGGCAGATGGTAGTACTAGGTCTGGCAGCGTTGGAGTAGGGACGGGTAAGAGGCCTAGGAGCATCAGCATGGCGTTGAAGTGGCGCCAGAGGTGACGGTGGAGGGTGGCGTGTTACAGTAAGATGAGGCCACGCCGGGGCGGAGAGGGGAAGGTGGAGAGGTTAGCAGAGCAGGGCTGCCCAGCATATGTCAGAGCGGGAGATAGTGGGTGAAGACATCCTTGGGGGGGCTTGTCCCCAGGGAACTGGAACAGACAGTCGTTTGAATTATCCAGAAAAGTGTTAAGATATTATTGTGGTAAGGGTTCTTTTACCCTACATGTAAGGTCTTGCATTAGCATGGCAGCTAATGTTTATTGAGCTACTAAATTGCACAACATAAAGTATCTTTGTTTCTTTGCATCTGAGGGATGATGCTTCCTTATGAGATATTTCTACCACCTTCCCTAGCTTCAGGCTTTCATTCGTATACCTTGTGGCAATGAATTTGCAAACTTCCGCAAAGAGGCAGCAGTAGCATGCTAACGTTATGCCTGTCAATAAGAGACAGGACTTTCGTGGGGACCGGCGTGCTTCCTCACCTGGTCAAAGGCTTTAGAAATATTATGGAAACAAAAACTCCCGAAACTGACAAAAGTACATTAGAGGTTTTGATACGTGGGAGTGAAATATCAGAGAGGACTCGGCAGAGATTGAAAAAAAAATGTAGAGAACAGTAATTATTTACAATTTACAGTATGTATACAGTAAACCCTCGGGAAACCGATAATTTCAGCAAAATTTATTTTGCTGGAACTCAGCAGTGAGTAATATAATATAATAATGGCTGTCCCTCGTGTACGAGGATGACAGGCCCAAGGGCCACCTAAGCGTGAAATTTTTAAGGTGTAGAAGCTGTAGCAAACACAACAACTACACCCTAAGTTAACGAGTTACATGACCCAGTGTCAAGAAATAGTCCGTGAAAATCAGATCCAGTAATTCG